CAAATAGCAGCACGGACATGTTAGTTAGAAAATTGATACACCCTATTATGTAACCTTTTCAACTAATCTCAAGCTGAAACTACATTATAATTCGTCCTAGAGATTAACATGACCTGCTTAGATACTGAGTAAAAACATTACAAATTCTTTGTCAAACGAATTTTTCTCAGGCATGGTAACACACACAGTCCCCCAAAAGAACATCAAGAATCACAGGTCTCGACGCCCAAGTACATCATCCACGATTCAGCGGTCGTTTGAGCTTCAGACTCTCCGCTTTCCTCATTTTCCCAAGAGTATTTCTTCACTATTTTAATCCGTTTCAGGTTGAAAGAATGATTTGATGATTCAAGGTTTCTTTCTTTTGTTCATCAAGCGGGAAAAAATCTGGTAGCATTCTGGAACCTTTTCGACATAACATCCCCTGGCGCTGTCGTGTCCGTTCAGATTTGCTCAATCTGCGGTTTGTACGAGTGCTGTTACATGGTGTCATATATCCTTGAAAGACTTTCTGTGTTGAAGGGATTTCCATGCTGTCTTTTAGACTGTATTTTCTGGTGGTTATCTTCCTTTTTGCTTGGCAAGTTTGGTTGTTGACAATCGGTTACTGTCTGATATTTCTTCTACTCGGCGCTGTTTACGTAAAGTAATACAAAACTATAAATAAAAGCAGCATCATACCCAGAAATTGAAAACAAACCAGTGACGTACACACACAGCACACGTCCTTGAGAACAGACAACAAAGGAACTGAAACAATTGGGGGGGGGGGGGGGGTTCTGTTTGTATCTCCTCGTCTTAAATGATTCATGTTACCAAGTAACAAGCATACATTATAAATTCCTTAGTCTACGGTTTTGTTGAAAACTTGAAAGTATCCTGTCCAGTCTCTGAAAAGCATTGAGGTGCTACTGGACGGTCATTCGTCAACACGAATGGTATGCGGTTACTTCTACATAACAGAGCACCAAGTATCACCGGCCCCGACGTAAAAACTGCATCTTCCACATCTTTCCGAATCATCACTCGGGCTTTGTAGACCCTTGGTTATCTATGCTTTGACGGATCTAATACCTTCCTTTTACTGGGTGTATCATAAAGGAAAAAAAACTGCAAAGCGTTTTGAACCTTTCACAAGACATCTCCCGGGTTTGTGCATTCTGTAGTTTGTCAAAAAAAGCTCACTTTTAGACGAAACGGGAGATGTTTTGTCGAAAATGTTTTTTTTTTAAAGTTCTGTTGCGGTAATACTTTCATAGTGTCTAAAAACATGGATTCAAGGGAAGCTTTCGTCTGTCTTGAAGTGTTCTATCCTTCGTAATTTTCGGATCCTCTTTGATCTTTTAATCTGACTGCAAGATTGCTCAAAAATTTAAACTGGCTATGACTTAGTTTTGAAAAGAAGTTCACCAAAAGGGCCTCTCCATTAAAAGGAAGAAAATCCGAAGCCAAGTTGAGTTATGTCTCTGACGATTCTCGATATTTACTTACAAGCGATCTTTGTAGATAATCGTGTATTTGAGACTTCCGTGTTCGCTTTACATTGATGATACGGAAATCACGTCTCAAAATCTGATGCCTTAATGACTATTTGCATACACCTCAACTGTTTGAAGAAGAATCGTTTCCTTGTTTTTAATAACCATGCCTGAAATGTAATCCTATAGGGCGAAATTAGATGAATGTTTTGCTGTTGTTTCCCAACAATTATTTTCAGCTAAGTGTGTGAGGTTTTCTGTGACACTGAAAGATGTCAAAATCTATGTGGTTCCGCCAAAGAAACAAGATTGTTTACAATAAGTCGTGTTTTGGAGAAAAACGGAACTAAAAACAAGAATCCAATTAGCAGATACGTTTGCAAATAGCAGTACGCACATGCAAGTTAGAAAATTGATACAGCCTATTGTGTAAAAGACAATGTACATCCTCTGTCAAACGAATTTCGTTCAGGCATGGTAACATACAAATCTCTAAAAGAACATCAAGAATCATAGGCCTCGGAGCCAAAGTACATCATCCACGATTCAGCGATACGTTTATCGTGTTTTGGGGAAAAACGCAACTAAAAACAAGAATCAATTAGCGGATACGTTTCCAAATAGCAGCACGGACACGTTAGTTAGAAAATTGATACACCCTATTATGTAACCTTTTCAACTAATCTCAAGCTGAAACTACATTATAATTCGTCTTAGTTTAGAGATTAACATGAACTGCTTTGATATTGAGTAAAAACATTACAAATTCTTTGTCAAACAAATTTTTCTCAGGTATGGTAACACACACAGTCCCTAAAAGAACATCAAGAATCACAGACCTCGGCGCCAAAGTACATCATCCACGATTTAGCGATCGTTTGCGCTTCAGACTCTCCGCTTTCCTCATTTTCCCAAGAGTATTTCTTCACTATGTTAATCGGTTTGGTTGAAAGAATGATTTGCTGATTCAAGGTTTCTTTCTTTTGTTCATCAAGCGGGAAAAAATCTGGTAACATTCTGGAACCTTTTCGACATAACATCTCTTGGCGCTGTCGTGTCCGTTCAGATTTGCTCAATCTGCGTTTTTTACGAGAGGTGTTACATGGCATCATATATTCTTCAAAGATTTTCGGTGTGGAAGGGATTTCCATGCTGTCTTTTAAACTGTATTTTCTGGTGATTATCTTCCTTTTTGCTTGGCAAGTTTGGTTGCTGACAATCGATTCAGTACTGTCTGATATTTCTTCAACTCGGCGCTGTTCACTTTAAGTGATACAAAACTATAAATATTATAAATTGAACTATCTCTTTTCTGATTGGCCGAAAGCGTACAGTGAATTTTCGAAATCAGCGCCTGTGACGTCATCTCTGTAGATTATGCAATAATCATATCAAGGACACTCAAGGTCACGGGTAATCATGTCAAGTTCGCGCACTTTGTGTTGCTTGCCGTCAGTGAAGAAGAAAAGACATGACTTCCATTTTTTTCGTTCAATGTGTAATAAAACAATTATTAAATTCCGTTTTTGATATCCAGAATAATCAAGGTCTCGGTAAGAGTTATCAGGCTCAGCCTTCGGCTTCGGCTGATAACCCCTACCTCGACCTTGATTATTCTGGGTATCACAAAAACCTCATCCAATAATTGTTTAGAAGCAGCATCATACCCAGAAATTGAAAACAAGCCAGTGACGTACACACACAGCACACGTCCTTGAGAACAGACAACAAAGGAACTGAAACAATTGGCGGGTGATTCTGTTTGTATCTCCTCGTCTTAAATGATTCATGTAACCAAGTAACAAACATACATTCTAAATTCCTTAGTCTACGGTTTTGTTTAAAACTTGAAAGTATCCTGTCCAGTCTCTGAAAAGCATTGAGGTGCTACTGGACGGTCATTCGTCAACACGAATGGTATGCGGTTACTTCTACATAACAGAGCACCAAGTATCACCGGCCTCGAAGCCAAGACTACATCTTCCACGATTAAGTCATCATTCGGGCTTTGTGGACACTTCGTTATCTATGCTTTGCCGAATCTAATGCCTCCCTTTTACTGGGTGTGTCATAAAGGAAAAAAACTGCAAAGCGTTTTGAACCTTTCACAAGACATCCTCCGGGTTTGTGCATTCTGAAGTTTGTCAAAAAAGCTCAGTTAGACGACACGGGAGATGTTTTGTCGAAAATGTTTTTTTTTTAGAGTAATGTTGTGGTAATAGTTTCATAGTGTCTAAAAACATGGATTCAAGGGAAGCTTTCGTCTGTCTTGAAGTGTTCTATCCTTCGTAATTTTCGGATCCTCTTTGATCTTTTAATCTGACTGCAAGATTGCTCAAAAATTTAAACTGGCTATGACTTAGTTTTGAAAAGAAGTTCACCAAAAGGGCCTCTCCATTAAAAGGAAGAAAATCCGAAGCCAAGTTGAGTTATGTCTCTGACGATTCTCGATATTTACTTACAAGCGATCTTTGTAAATAATCGTATATTTGAGACTTCCATGTTCACTTTACATTGATGATACGGAAATCACGTCTCAAAATCTGATGCCTTAATGACTATTTGCATACACCTCAACTGTTTGAAGAAGAATCGTTTCCTTGTTTTTAATAACCATGCCTGAAATGTAATCCTATAGGGCGAAATTAGATGAATGTTTTGCTGTTGTTTCCCAACAATTATTTTCAGCTAAGTGTGTGAGGTTTTCTGTGACACTGAAAGATGTCAAAATCTATGTGGTTCCGCCAAAGAAACAAGATTGTTTACAATAAGTCGTGTTTTGGAGAAAAACGGAACTAAAAACAAGAATCCAATTAGCAGATACGTTTGCAAATAGCAGTACGCACATGCAAGTTAGAAAATTGATACAGCCTATTGTGTAAAAGACAATGTACATCCTCTGTCAAACGAATTTCGTTCAGGCATGGTAACATACAAATCTCTAAAAGAACATCAAGAATCATAGGCCTCGGAGCCAAAGTACATCATCCACGATTCAGCGATACGTTTATCGTGTTTTGGGGAAAAACGCAACTAAAAACAAGAATCAATTAGCGGATACGTTTCCAAATAGCAGCACGGACACGTTAGTTAGAAAATTGATACACCCTATTATGTAACCTTTTCAACTAATCTCAAGCTGAAACTACATTATAATTCGTCTTAGTTTAGAGATTAACATGAACTGCTTTGATATTGAGTAAAAACATTACAAATTCTTTGTCAAACAAATTTTTCTCAGGTATGGTAACACACACAGTCCCTAAAAGAACATCAAGAATCACAGACCTCGGCGCCAAAGTACATCATCCACGATTTAGCGATCGTTTGCGCTTCAGACTCTCCGCTTTCCTCATTTTCCCAAGAGTATTTCTTCACTATGTTAATCGGTTTGGTTGAAAGAATGATTTGCTGATTCAAGGTTTCTTTCTTTTGTTCATCAAGCGGGAAAAAATCTGGTAACATTCTGGAACCTTTTCGACATAACATCTCTTGGCGCTGTCGTGTCCGTTCAGATTTGCTCAATCTGCGTTTTTTACGAGAGGTGTTACATGGCATCATATATTCTTCAAAGATTTTCGGTGTGGAAGGGATTTCCATGCTGTCTTTTAAACTGTATTTTCTGGTGATTATCTTCCTTTTTGCTTGGCAAGTTTGGTTGCTGACAATCGATTCAGTACTGTCTGATATTTCTTCAACTCGGCGCTGTTCACTTTAAGTGATACAAAACTATAAATATTATAAATTGAACTATCTCTTTTCTGATTGGCCGAAAGCGTACAGTGAATTTTCGAAATCAGCGCCTGTGACGTCATCTCTGTAGATTATGCAATAATCATATCAAGGACACTCAAGGTCACGGGTAATCATGTCAAGTTCGCGCACTTTGTGTTGCTTGCCGTCAGTGAAGAAGAAAAGACATGACTTCCATTTTTTTCGTTCAATGTGTAATAAAACAATTATTAAATTCCGTTTTTGATATCCAGAATAATCAAGGTCTCGGTAAGAGTTATCAGGCTCAGCCTTCGGCTTCGGCTGATAACCCCTACCTCGACCTTGATTATTCTGGGTATCACAAAAACCTCATCCAATAATTGTTTAGAAGCAGCATCATACCCAGAAATTGAAAACAAGCCAGTGACGTACACACACAGCACACGTCCTTGAGAACAGACAACAAAGGAACTGAAACAATTGGCGGGTGATTCTGTTTGTATCTCCTCGTCTTAAATGATTCATGTAACCAAGTAACAAACATACATTCTAAATTCCTTAGTCTACGGTTTTGTTTAAAACTTGAAAGTATCCTGTCCAGTCTCTGAAAAGCATTGAGGTGCTACTGGACGGTCATTCGTCAACACGAATGGTATGCGGTTACTTCTACATAACAGAGCACCAAGTATCACCGGCCTCGAAGCCAAGACTACATCTTCCACGATTAAGTCATCATTCGGGCTTTGTGGACACTTCGTTATCTATGCTTTGCCGAATCTAATGCCTCCCTTTTACTGGGTGTGTCATAAAGGAAAAAAACTGCAAAGCGTTTTGAACCTTTCACAAGACATCCTCCGGGTTTGTGCATTCTGAAGTTTGTCAAAAAAGCTCAGTTAGACGACACGGGAGATGTTTTGTCGAAAATGTTTTTTTTTTAGAGTAATGTTGTGGTAATAGTTTCATAGTGTCTAAAAACATGGATTCAAGGGAAGCTTTCGTCTGTCTTGAAGTGTTCTATCCTTCGTAATTTTCGGATCCTCTTTGATCTTTTAATCTGACTGCAAGATTGCTCAAAAATTTAAACTGGCTATGACTTAGTTTTGAAAAGAAGTTCACCAAAAGGGCCTCTCCATTAAAAGGAAGAAAATCCGAAGCCAAGTTGAGTTATGTCTCTGACGATTCTCGATATTTACTTACAAGCGATCTTTGTAAATAATCGTATATTTGAGACTTCCATGTTCACTTTACATTGATGATACGGAAATCACGTCTCAAAATCTGATGCCTTAATGACTATTTGCATACACCTCAACTGTTTGAAGAAGAATCGTTTCCTTGTTTTTAATAACCATGCCTGAAATGTAATCCTATAGGGCGAAATTAGATGAATGTTTTGCTGTTGTTTCCCAACAATTATTTTCAGCTAAGTGTGTGAGGTTTTCTGTGACACTGAAAGATGTCAAAATCTATGTGGTTCCGCCAAAGAAACAAGATTGTTTACAATAAGTCGTGTTTTGGAGAAAAACGGAACTAAAAACAAGAATCCAATTAGCAGATACGTTTGCAAATAGCAGCACGCACATGCAAGTTAGAAAATTGATACAGCCTATTGTGTAAAAGACAATGTACATCCTCTGTCAAACGAATTTCGTTCAGGCATGGTAACATACAAATCTCTAAAAGAACATCAAGAATCATAGGCCTCGGAGCCAAAGTACATCATCCACGATTCAGCGATACGTTTATCGTGTTTTGGGGAAAAACGCAACTAAAAACAAGAATCAATTAGCGGATACGTTTCCAAATAGCAGCACGGACACGTTAGTTAGAAAATTGATACACCCTATTATGTAACCTTTTCAACTAATCTCAAGCTGAAACTACATTATAATTCGTCTTAGTTTAGAGATTAACATGAACTGCTTTGATATTGAGTAAAAACATTACAAATTCTTTGTCAAACAAATTTTTCTCAGGTATGGTAACACACACAGTCCCTAAAAGAACATCAAGAATCACAGACCTCGGCGCCAAAGTACATCATCCACGATTTAGCGATCGTTTGCGCTTCAGACTCTCCGCTTTCCTCATTTTCCCAAGAGTATTTCTTCACTATGTTAATCGGTTTGGTTGAAAGAATGATTTGCTGATTCAAGGTTTCTTTCTTTTGTTCATCAAGCGGGAAAAAATCTGGTAACATTCTGGAACCTTTTCGACATAACATCTCTTGGCGCTGTCGTGTCCGTTCAGATTTGCTCAATCTGCGTTTTTTACGAGAGGTGTTACATGGCATCATATATTCTTCAAAGATTTTCGGTGTGGAAGGGATTTCCATGCTGTCTTTTAAACTGTATTTTCTGGTGATTATCTTCCTTTTTGCTTGGCAAGTTTGGTTGCTGACAATCGATTCAGTACTGTCTGATATTTCTTCAACTCGGCGCTGTTCACTTTAAGTGATACAAAACTATAAATATTATAAATTGAACTATCTCTTTTCTGATTGGCCGAAAGCGTACAGTGAATTTTCGAAATCAGCGCCTGTGACGTCATCTCTGTAGATTATGCAATAATCATATCAAGGACACTCAAGGTCACGGGTAATCATGTCAAGTT